TAATATTAAATATATTAAATAATTAATATATATATTTAACACTTGGGAATTAAACACACACAACACACACTAATAATCTACCAGAACCAAGAGAGAGAACGGAACACAAATGACAAACAAGAATTTAACCCAGATCAGTTTCCTTATTCCACGGCTGCAACAAGAGGATTTTATTCAGTTGTCATGTCCCGGAATTATAATTACAAGATGCGTATATATAAGAGAAACCTAGGGCTACGAAACTTGTTCCCAAAAACAAGAAACAAACGGGCTAAAAAAAGGTCAATTCAAGTCAAGCCCAAAAAATATCTAGCCTCCACAAACAACAAACATTATCTAATGAGAATTCCTTTTACTAATTACTACAAGCCACATTTCATCACCTCCTTCTCTTTCCACATTAGCCTCTCTAATCATCGACTGTCATAACGTGATTGGAGGGGGCACAAGCTAGACATCTAAGAAAGCACCAAAGGGAGATTTTCTCCTAAACTCTTCTAGGGGATCGCGCCATGGGCGGTTTGAGTCTCATTAAATTGTGAATTTCCATAATTAATTAGAAATCATGTATAAATAGAGGGGACCCGAATGAGGATCTTCAAGCTGAATCAAGCAAATAAAGTCTACAATTCTCGAGTTCTTGTTCATTATTATTTCTTTCGATCCTTCATTCTAAGTTGGATCATTTGGTGGATTTATTGTCCATCACATGGGTTTAAAATTTAGCACTACTCAATTAAAAAAATCAAAGTCTTACATGTAAGGATCAAATCGACCATGACTACATGTAAGGAGGCATCTAAAAATATTCCTCTACCCGTCTTAATTTAGATTGCATGTTTATAGTCCTAATATTTAAAGTTTAATCACTTTTTTTACTCATTTTCGTTACACCAATGATAAAATTAAATAATATACACACGTCACTTCTTGTTTTGTAATATTTTAATATAATCTTCGAATATTTAAATTGTATTTTGAAATTCTACTCTAATTTTTTATACTTCCTCCGTTCTAAAATTTTCTTCCGAGAGCACTATTCCAACTTCACGGGAATTTATATTTATTTGTGTTTTTTCATGGCCTATATGATTAAATAAAATATTCTTGTCACCATTTGTTTTGTTGAACTTTTGATGTAATTTTTAAATATGTATGTTTTATTTTTTATTTTTATACCAATAATTAAATAAAATAGATTGAAAAAACTTGGAATTTTTCTTCGTTCTGCACAACGGGAAAGAAAGATATAGGAGGGAGGAAGTATAGACTATAAACAATAACGTTTAACCTAGAGTACCATCATAAAGCATGACCTTTTTGGTTGGTTGAGTTGTTCATTGTTTCAGTCATGAATGTAAACTACTCCATTCCGGCCGTGAATGTTAAATGCAGAGTATCATTGTGCATCTTTGGCAGATGTAATTAAAGGAGATGAGGATATGATCAATCCATCGCCAAGAGAGTTGGCCAAAATCGTCAGTAATGCTTTGATCACGGCGGCGAAACAAGTCGCCCCAAGTCAGAAATGGAAGTGGACGCCGCCGCTGGAGCAAGCTTTGCACCGCCTTGGGTGCCGGCGGCTTCTCAGCCCGGCGTTGGTTGCCGGCGTGATCGACCCGCACCTCCTCCATCACCACTCCATCGCCCTCGGCTTCTTCGACTGGTCGTCCCAGCAACCCGGATTTTCTCACGACTTATCCTCGTACCAGTCGATCATCAAGGCCCTCTCCCGTTCCCGCGACTTCAATGCCATTGAAAGGCTCTTTAAGCAGAGCAAATCCCAGAAGCTCGTTCTCCCGCCTCATGTTTATCGCGCCGTCATTGCTTCTCAAATCAGCTGCAAGAAAATTCAAATGGCGTTTTCCACTTTCAAAGAGCTTGGCTCGTTGGTATCTGGAATCGGACCTCACACTTGCAATTCACTTCTTGCTGCGATGTCCTCTGAAGGAGATATTTGTGGCGCCCTAAAGGTGTTCGATGAAATGACTCTTAGAGGCGTTCAGTTGAACACGCTTGGTTTTGGTGTCTTTGTGTGGAACTTCTGTCGCAGTAATGGACTGGAAATGACTTTGAATGTGCTAGAGGAAGTTCGGAGGATTGATTTTTCTGGAATCAACGGGTCTGTTATCGCCGTTTTAGTTGTTCATGGGATGTGTTCTTGTAATCTTGTATCTGAGTCTTTTGTGGCATTGGAAGAGTTGAGGAAAAGAGGTTGTAAGCCAGATTTTATGGCGTATAGAGTCGTCACAGAAGCATTGAGGGAAATGGGTGATGTGGTTAATGTTGAGAAGGTTTTGAAGAAAAAAAGGAAGCTGGGGGTTGCCCCAAGATCCAATGATTATAAAGAATTCATTTTTACCTTGATTTCAGAAAGACTAATATCTGAAGCAAAAGAGTTGGGAAAGGTGATTATGAATGGGAATTTCCCAATGGACGATGATCTGCTCAATGCTCTGATTGGATCTGTTTCATCTGTTGATCCTTGTAGCTCCATGCTGTTCTTCAATTTCATGGTTGAGAAAGAAGTATTTCCCACACTTGTTACTTTGAACACTTTGGGTAGGAACCTCTGCAGGCATGGCAAAGCTGAGGTGCTGGTTGAGGTCTTTCAGAAATTTTCTGCCAGAGGATATCTCAGTGATACACAAAGCTATAAAGTGATGGTTACACTTTTGTGCGAGGCGGGTAAGGTAAAGGAAGCTTATGGCCTTCTCGGCGAGATGAAAAGAAAAAATTTAGGCGTTGACGTATCCTTTTACAATTCGCTTCTAGAAGCCTGCTGCAGAGAAGATATGTTGCGGCCTGCAAAACGGCTGTGGGACGAAATGTTTGCAAATGGCTGTCCTGGCGATATAAAGACATACAACATCCTCATCCAGAAGTGTTCAGAAGTCGGTGAAGTTGAAGAAGCCTACAGGCTATTCCAGCACATGTCCGAGAAAGGGATTGCACCGGATGCAACAACTTACAAATCCATTCTTAAAGGGATCTGTCAAGCCAAAGATCTCACCTTGGCTCTTAATGTGTTCAATATATGTGTTGCTCAAAGTAGTGTCATTATGCGGGACATTTTAGGTTCATTCGTCCTCAGTCTTTGCAACGAAGGTGTGACTTTCAACATGTTACCATAAACAACTCCTCTATTCGTTGTTCTTGACGAAACACGTACTCGTTTAACATCCATGTTTTGCTCTTTTGTGTTTTTGCAGGTTATGTGCTTCCTGCTTTGAAATTGCTTCATGGCTACGCCAATGATATCGCATATCTGGACTCCCATCTCACAGTGTTGAAATTTTTAACTGATGCTGGGGAGGCTTCACTGGCTCTCGAACACTTGAAGTCGATTAAAGACACTTCTCCTTTCATGTTACAAGCTCTTCACAATGAGATTCTATCTTTATCAAGACCAGATTTGATAGTGAAGCTGTTTAAAGCAGTGCAGGAAACCGTCTAGCAGTAAGTGAAAGTTTACCCTTGTGATAGCTTTTTGTGCGCATCGAGCACGTAACGGTCTCTCTAAAGATCAAACTAAAATTATATGATTTACTTTCTAACTACTACTCTCTAAAGATCAGACTAATTTTCTCTTTCTCGTCTATTGGATATGCAAGATAGGAACCCGCATTGGGGGCCTAAACTTATAGGGTTCAGTATTGTTAGGTTGTTTCAATTGATTGATATATTCAAAGTTATGTTTTTAATGTAAAAAGTAATCTCTTATAGTCTTATGTATTCCAATAGCCAAAGTATCATAAAATGACCATTAAAATTCAAATTCTTTATTGTTTTTTCTCGATTTTGGGCTGGTCCGGCATCTATTCATGGACATTTCCATTCCCAACAATATCTTTCATCACACTTCCAAATTAAATTTCATCAAATTTTATTTGGTTCCGCCAAACAAGCCTTAGAGCTACAATTAGAATTCCCATTTAAAGGCATTAATTATTGAGTCCTAATAAGTACTCCTTAATAAAGAATGCAACATCGCATTCAATCTGTGTTCAAACCTTTATCCACATGCTATCTATATACGTACTCTTTCTGGTCCAAAAAAAAAAACTATTCCCCATTTAAAGATACTCCGAAAGACCAAAGTAGGACTAAAACATTGAAATTATACCAAAATAGGATTTCCATGTTTTTATTCTCGAAACAAGACTTGCATTACCAAACATGATCATATGCATTATCAAAAAAGTATAGTAATGTGCATATGTACACTGCCACATTACTACAGTGCAAAGTTACATTACCACAGTGCAAAGTCTTATTTCGGGAAAAAAAACATGAAAATTCTATTTTTGTACTTTTCTCTATGTTTTAGTCCTATTTAGGGTGATTTCTATATGTTAATTTAGTTTGATTGTTATTTCTTATTTGGGTGTTATGTTCTCATTTAATTCCATCCTTCGGGGTAGAATGCAATGCGATTTTACAAATTAATATACGATGACTCGATGAGTGTGTATATACGTACTTCCTCCATCCTGTTAAAGAGTATCCCACATTGAAAAAGTGAGGAAAAATTAGTCTGTTACAGAAAAAATAAAACTACGAAATATTTTGTGGGACCGAGCAAGTATTTGTCATAGAATGTGACATAAAATTTCCTTTGGTCTTGAGGAAGAATGTTAAGTCTAAAGTACACTGTAGACTTTTCTGTAACAGAAAAAATAAAACTACGAAATATTTTGTGGGATCGAGCAAGTACTTGCCATAGAATGTGACATAAAATTTTCTTTGGTCTTGAGGAAGAATGTTAAGTCTAAAGTACACTATAGACTTGTAAACTTTTCTGTAACAGAAAAAATAAAACTACGAAATATTTTGTGGGACCGAGCAAGTACTTGCCATAGAATGTGACATAAAATTTCCTTTGGCCTTGAGGAAGAATGTTAAGTCAAGTACAATGTAGGAACTTTATCCAAATGTGATAGTGTCTTGTGTGCTTTAAGTATAGGGGTGACATCTTTTTAACTTATCAAAATTATAACGTGATTTATCTACATTATTCCCTTCACATAAAATTTGCTTCTACTTCAAATTGTTTTGAGAAAATCTTCTTTCAAACACAATCTCTCTCTCTCTCTCAACCATATTTTTCCTAACTGCAAACAACTCCTCAAAATTTTGTGAAAGAGAGAGAGAGGTACCTACGTCTTACATGCGGCTTATTATATATGATTGCCATGAAAAAGAACAGCACTTGAAACTCAGTTACCATCTAAACGATGGAATCTTTAGACAATCCCGGAGTCGATTTGGAAGCCGGTAGTGGGGGAGACGGTGTCGGGCCACGCCGTTCAACCGCGAGCAGCTCCGACAACGCGGAGGCGGCGGTGCCGGGCCCGGAACCGCAGCCGTCGCCGAAAGAGGAAGCCAAAGCAGAGAGGAATTGCAGAATCTGCCAATTGGGGTTGGAAGGGGAGAGTCAAGAATCTGTTGGGGTGGTTTTTGAGCTGGGGTGTTCTTGTAAGAATGATTTGGCTACTGCCCATAGACTGTGTGCTGAGGCTTGGTTCAAGATTAAGGGCAACAGGTTTGTTCTAATTATGCAATCTCATCATTTTAGCGTTATAGTTTTGGATATAACTTTATTAGCGTAAATTAATTTTGAAAAACGCTACCGTTAAACGCACTTGTTACATAACTTTTTCAAAACACCAATATAAAATTGTTTCCGAACTTACCACTAGTGAGTATTGTTTTATTTTCACTTTGGTGATTTCATTTGAGCACCCAACGCTATTCTATTTGATCCTAAAAAAGTTCATACATGGAATTCAAATTATGGAATTAGAATTGAAGATAACAATTCTAATTCTATTGTTTGATATCACAAAAATATGTGAATTTCGAATTGGTACTGCCAAAAATGAATTAAAATTGGAGAATTCAATTCCATCCAAATCAATTCCATAGAATTTTAATTTTCAATTCAACTTCAGTTCCATTAATTCTGTGTACCAAAAGGACTCTCAATTCATTCTATCTAATTTTTTATGGGTTAGTGAGCATATGCATTATTTCTATGCAGATTTTAAGTTACTCCAAGAATGTGATTTATCCCCTTTTATTTTGAACCGTCCGTTCCTAATCTTTTAAATCTATTTTTGTTTATAAACTCTTTAATTTGTTTAGTTGTATAATAATTGCTTCAATACTGCCAAAAGCGCCAATAGAAAATGATTATATAATGCTCTATGTTCTTAAAAAATATGTCACAGTTCATTATTTAAAAAGTACAAAAACTTTTATTCATTTAACTGTTTCAATTTATTATTTTATAAAATAAAATATTATTACCTTATTTTGTTTTGAAAAAAACTTTTGACTTATTTTTTAAATATGTAAATTTTAATTTTAATTTTTTATCAATTTTTAAATAATATAAATTAAGGAACTTAAAATTTTATTTCATTTTGGTAATGTGACATTCTTTTTTAAAAAAAGAGAGTGATATTGTGTACCACACATTAAAGAAATGGCTTTGGGTCCTAGTCGAGGTTTATTAAAACGGAAAAAAACCAATCAATTAATTATGTGCATATGGAGGAAATAATATGCTACGTATTAGGCAAATCCTGTTAGATTGGACATCATATGCTTGCCCAATTTATTTTTATTATTCTTTTTTTCTTTTTCTTCACGAAAGTTTATACTCCTTCGTTTCTCATTCTTCACATTACGCTTAAATAACATAAAATTTAATGTCATTTGTTAAATAAATTGCCACTGTTCCAGAGTATGTCATGTGTTGACTTTTCACAGTAAAAATTACTCCGTATTAAATTTTGACCATTAACTAAATAAACTTTAGATTGTATATTGATAGAGGAATAATTTTATTATCTTGAAAAATATTTTGAATATAGTTATTTGTTTTATTAATATCACATGTAATTTTTACTTTAATTATAGATTAAAGATTGGTCTTGGATAACTAAAAAAAGTCTAAACTGGACAAATATTCTGGGATTTGGTTTCCATATTCCCTTTGTCCCAAAATTGAAATAACTTTTGTTTGTTTGTGTACTTTCATTGACTATTTAATAAAATTAAATAATCTTATCATTCTTTGTTTTGTAGAATTTAGACGTAGTTATTTAATATATAAATTTTATTAATTGCGCAAATTTTTATTTCATAATATTATCCACAGGACTTGTGAGATATGCGGATCGATTGCGTCCAACGTTGCCTGCACCAACATGGAGGCTGAACCCATTGAAATGTGGAGCGAATCAAATGTTGCCGCTGGCACATCGGCGGTGCGGTCGTCCTTGGCCCGAGTCGAGACCCCGCGACGCTTTTGGCGGGGTCACCGCTTCCTCAATTTCTTGCTAGCTTGCATGGTTTTTGCCTTTGTAATTTCTTGGCTCTTCCACTTCAATGTCCCCTCATGAATTCCCCTGGCTCAGCTAATTTGGTAAATTGTATATGTGTCTGTATATATGTATATATCCATTGATTTTTTTCGCACCGGTGTTAAGTGTGTTGGTCCATTTGCAACAAGTTAGATTCAAAATGATCTTGTGGTCTTCTTGAGACGAGAGAGGACGTGTTAGAGTATCAATCATCAAAAAATAAAGAAAAAATAATGAGTTTATAAGCTATTGGATTGAACTGGTAATTAATTGAAATTAATCTTTAAACATGGCTCAACCTAATTGTCTTATAATCCACTGCAGTGATCCATATTTCAATCTAAATTCTACTCCCTTTAATTTGTCTGTGAAAATATCAGAGATTTTGATTTTTAAAAGATTTAAAAGGAGAGTATTTTAGTGTTGAGTTTTCAAAAATGTGTCTTTAGATATAATGAGTAAAAGTAGAATTTGATGGGTAGATTAACAGTAAATATATGTGATGTGATATGTAAGTTAATACGTAGTAAATTGTAAGGGTTAAAGTGACTTTTTAATATAAATAAGAAAAGTTTTTTGACACGGATGAAAAACGAAATCAAAAGATTTTCAGGAATGGAATGAGAGGTTGTTTGACAGTGTGTTGCTTTTAATAATTTAGCTTCTGCTTTGAGTAGAAGTGATTTTACTCTGTTTGGCATGTCAGCTTCTGCTTTTCACCACCACTATTTTGTACATAGAACACCGTTTCGGAGAAGCAGGTAGGAGGTACTTCTACTTTCAGCTTTTGCGGAAATCACTTTATCCATAAGTTAATTACTCCCAAACACCCTCTGAATATTAAATATCAACGCACTTTTTTTAAGTCACGTGAAAATCAAACAATAAATTTGTTTGGTTAAAAAACATTTTTGTGTGACTAATGTTAGCATTGTACTGTAGATGATTTTTGTGACATATGAGCAATTGAGCAAGGATTAAGCCATGTCAATCCCAACATTTATACCTCAATTTGTACCTCGCAGTTTTACACCAACATTTTGTGTTGGTGTAAAACTAATTTTTGTTAACGCACCAATATTTGTGTCGATGTAAATCATCAAAATATTTGTGCTAAACTGTGGTGTACAAGTGTGGTATATTTTTAATGTAAGTGTAACATGATCATGGCTCTCTCCAGTCTCCACTAGCTTAGGCGTACAAGCATATAGTAATGGAATAGTTTGAGACTGACAGTGCAATAAAAAATTATTCCTTGAAATATTATACATAGTACTCCCGTATTCTATATGTAGCCCAATCAAGATTTAAATCAGAATAAAATCTATTGCTCCATCATGAATTATTAGAATTATCATCCATAAAATTTCTTGAATTCTGAGGTGTCTTCTCAAAAATAAATGACATAAAGACTAATACTTGCTCTATTCCTGAAAAATTTTTCTTCATTTTTTATTTATCCGTCTCAATTTTTTTATTTTTATTAAAAACTTATTTTTGTCCTTACTAATTCATAACCTATCTATCACATCACATCTATTCACTATTAATTTATCAATCAAATTCTACCTTTACTCATCATATTCAGGAATATTTGAAGAAACGGAACACCAAAACACACTCCTCTTAAAAATCAAAACTTCACATGTTTTCATGGACAAGCGAAATATATAATACATCCTTTTATGATTTTATTGGTTTCATGAAGCATATTAATGTTTTCCTTGTCACTTATTAATAATGTCAAATGAAAGATATCATTCCAAAATAATGGACAATATAATGAACGGATATATATATATATATATATATATATATATATATATATATATATATATATATATATATTTCACATTTTCTATATGAATATGATCTAAATCATCGAAACCCCACAACCCACGTTGGTTTGGGGCCTAGCTTATTGTCTGCCATGATAAAAACCATGATCCAACTTCAAAAGGTTATTAGCTGTACAATAATGCATATCACACTTTATTTTTTGTTTAGACTTTTGTATACAAACACTTTCTGCCCCTTTTATATTAAGAGCATTGAAAATTGTTATAGTCTTAGTTTTGCTTAAAAATATTTTGAACTCCTTATCTATAAACAGAAGCATATTAGGGAGTACTAAACACCATAAATTTGAAAGTAATTTTCAAACACAACCATGATCACCAATATACTCCCTCCGTCCCTTAAAAAACTTCTCATTTTGACTTTTAATGATTTAAGAAGAGTGTATTTTGCTCTTGACTTTCCAAAAATGTCCTTTGATGTGATGAATAAAGTACGATGAGATGGGTAGATTAATAGAGAAAAAGTATAATATGATAAGTAGGTTAAGAATTATTAAGGATAAAAGTGACTTTGTAATAGAAAAGGAAAGTGTTTTTTGGGACGAATGAAAAAAGAAAGGAGAATGGTTTTGTGGGACGGAGGAAGTAATTCTTTATAGAGTTTATGGGGTAATTTTTTGAAGAATAGACCTCTTTTGGAGAAGAAGAGATTATGGCTCCGTTTGGCATCAGCGTAAGAGGTTAGAATTAGTGCTTAAAAAATTATCTGACGATAGCCTTTAGCGTTAACATTTTTAAAATTATGGGTCACGTACTTTCTAATTAAAATAATGTTAATTACAGATTAGAGGCCAAAATGGTTATGGTTCGTCCAACTTATTAAACATTAATTAGGATTAATAGAGGTTGAGGAGATGCATGTTTAGTCCATATCAAACAGTTGGAAGCACTACGTCATTCGTGGAGTAGAATCAAGAAAAAGCCCCATGTACCAAAAATTTCTCCCTCTTTCTTTTTTTCTTGTCACACAATATTCTTTTCTTTTTTTACTTTTTCTGTTTTTAAAAAATTATCACATTTTGAATTTTTTAATTAAGCTGTGACACTTTTTTATCACGAATTACATATAGTTTAAAATAATTAAATATTACGGAGTATGTAAATTTTATATTTTAAACTAATATTTTAAAATAAACTTAATTTTACCAAATTAACATTATAACTAAATATATTTTTCCATAATTCATGGTCAAAGAGTGTCACAAATGAGCAAAAAAATCAAACTGTGGCAGTCTTTTAGGGACGGAGGAAATATTTAAAAAATCACTTTTACTCATATTTTTTCTTAACCTACCTATCACATCATACCTTTTTACTAATAATCTATGCATCGCATCCTAGTTATACACATCATATCAAGAGTGTTCTTCGAAAAAGTAAACACAAAATATCACTTTAATTTTCTTAAAAATCAAAATCGGAACACCTTTATATAGATTATGGAATAGTTGAGCACTCAATCACTCATCATATACAAATTAATAATGCATGCAGAATGGACAATAAGAGACGACCATAGTAAGTGCACCCACAAATTTGACAAGTAGTTTGATGCTTTTCTTTAATTTGGGTACGATGCAAAAAAAAAGATCAATCTTCATACCAAGCAAATGATGCAATTCTAGATCGTATCAGTATAGATAAAACTTCGAACATCTTCAAGCTCTAAAAAAAGAGAGAAGAGAATGATGAAAAATTTGGAGCGTTTTTAGACTCCCAATTTGAAATCATTGACCATAATTTACAAAACAAATTAATATATAATGTTATTATTTAATTCAAAATGAATTTTTTTGTAACAAATTTTTTAAACATAATATTTTTATAATATATATAAATATAAAATATTGATATAAATGGTCAAAGGAATTATTAATGCTATTTTAAAAAGCCTACATGAGTTAAATGAAGAAAGAAATGCCATTTTAATACTCCGGTATTTTACGTTTTGGGCTAAAGGAAAATCTACTGGGCTTAAGCACAATACTGTACATAAAAATATTTGGGGTCTTCAAAATTTTGGGAGCCCAGTATCGGCCCAGCGTCCTAAAATAATTACTCAGTATTTCTTTTTAGATTATCTCAATGGTATGCCTATTTTCACTTAAGTCAAAGAAATAAAGTGACATTGATTTATTTGTTCTTCCCTAAAATTTGTATATTTATAGACATTTTTAATCATTGTTTTCCTTTATTGGTTCATTGCTTTCTTGTCGACCATAAAAAAAAGATAAATACACTAAGGATGGGCACGGGTCGAGACGATCCGGGTTTTATATCGTCCCGCGTTTTGTCCCATTTTTTCTAACGGTTCAGAGTGGTTCGAGCCATAACATTATCCTTCTTTGTCTCTAAATATTTAGAATCAAGATAAAACAGAACGGCTTCAGATTATCCTAATTTGTCATTATCCAGAATTAAATATAAAAATATAAAATACATAAGAGAAGGCAACCCACTTGGACATCAAATAAAGTAATGGAAAAAATGATATATTTATTTAGAATGGTTTAAAAAAATTAAAAACAATAAGGAAATATGAAAAAAATGTTACAACATGCGTCAAAAGTAAAGACTACAAACTTCATAAAAACTATGAGCCATAAATTGAAATGAGTCGGGTTAGAATGGTATAGATTTTTATGTGTTCCGGTCCTAGTCTGTTTTTTAGAATATTCGAATATGGATGTTTTTTATATCTATATTGAGAAAAATAAAAATTGTGATACATTTTTTAATTTTGTGCTATATCATTATATATATACACACACACACACACAAATAAATATGGGACAACGGGACAAGACAGGAAAATATTTATGTGTCCCGGTCCTGTCCCATTTTGAAATGGTTCGAAAGGTTTGGGAGAAAATTTTGTCATCCCTAAAAAAACGAGACATTGTAGAGACGGGATCGATATATATATCTCAGATCGGGAAAACGGTTTTGGGATTCTTGTCCATCCCTAACACCGAGATGGAAGAATATTTCTTTTTCCTTTATGAGATCATGTAATCAAGCGGGGACAAACGTAACTTATATATTTTGGATTCTTCAAAGTTCAAATGACACCAGTAGTTTTGGAGCACTTATGATGCTCTGTTCATAAAACTAATAATGATTCTTCCCCCTAAACTCTCGGGCCCATCAATTTTACCCCGCCCGCACCCCCTAGTGTCAATATATATATTCACATCCGAATGAGGGTATGAGAAGTGTGTGTGTGTGTGTGTGTGTGTGTGTGTGTGTGTGTGTGTGTGTGTGTGTGTGTGTGTGTGTGTGTATATGGGAGTATATCTTTTGCCTCACTTCAAGAAATATGATGTTCCATGCAACGTATAAGTCTATGAGAAGATAACTTCATAAATCTGGCCTGGCTTGTTTTATCTTGATGACAACAATAAGGATTCCTTGTGGTTAATTGTTTACTATATCATGGTTGGACCGACCACCAAATAGATGTCCATATCCAAACCAATCCTGGACTGGGACCTTGCACATTCCAAAACATGTCTTCTACTTTAATTTGGATGTAGAATTTATGTTACAAAATGATCATTTTTTTAAAAAAATTATATATATGGTGCCACATTTTAGCATGTTTACAATAATCTTGAATGAGGTCAAAGATTTTTTAAGCTAACGCAAAGCTTTGCTGCGTCAACCCTGTTTAGTCCTATGGAAGTATCTCTTTTATTTGACTTTTTTTAGTCAAAGAATTCACATTTTTATTATATATTAAAAAATAATTAAAACTAAGATCTTATACTCCGTAAGTTTCATCTTGTAAATATTTAAAAACTACGTAAAAAAGATATGTTGGATCGTAATGAGTATTTTGGAAGGAAATTCAGCGCAAAACATATCTAAAATAGACAAATAGTCATTAACAATGAATGTGATTACTTAAATCCAAAATACTTCTACTTTCTATTTAAAAAAATTATTTTTATTCTTACTTTTTCTAGACTTACATATTACATCATATTTTTTAAAATGGGAAGTAATTTCAAGAAGAGAGGGAGTAATCTCTTAAATTTCAAGTCTCATACGTACGTGTTTGAAATTGTAATTTCTAAATTGACATTCTATGATTCAATTCCTTTAATGAAAAATTCATGAAAGTCAGAAGCAAACACTAGCGGAATAAACATTTTTCCCATATATATCAATGGCATATATTCGAAAAGATTCAAGAGTTATTATTACTACCCATCTCAGTTGAACGTATATAAGCTTCAACCACTCTTAATTTTTATTGCATATTAATAAAATGAAACACAATTCTAAAAATTCTCAACATGATAAATCTAATAGTATCATTGTTATACTAAAATATATTGCAATTTTCATTCAATTGAAGCTTAAATTCATCGAGTTTGATTTAAAAAAGTCAAATTAGACTAATGCGCTAAGTCGTAGGACTTATTTTTTTAGGTTAAAATTTCATAGTTGGATGTTAGAAAAAATTAGAAAGAGTTAGAAAACCTGGAAATACTCGAATAAATTTAAAAAATGTTGTAACAATTAAAGTGTTAAAAAATAATCCAATTAAATGATCACTCAAATAAATTTGTTAGAAAACTCTAATTTTGAGATGACTTATCATAAATTGGTAGAAGTTGAAAGAAATGGGAAAAAGTTAAATGTTAGAAGAATGAAAATATTAAAAAGTCAATCAATTAAATGATTATCGAAATAAATATGTAAGAAAATTCTAATTTTAAATAAAAAAAATCATCCTTGTTCTTGTTTGATGTGGTATATTATAAATTCAGATAAATAATGTTATTGTATATTCATCGTTTGCAAATAATTTTTTAATGTCGTTGGAAGAAACTGGAAGAAGTTAGAAGAAACTGAAAGCAATTTAAAAATTTAAAAAAAAAACAAACTTTTCAATAAAAAAAGGTCTTAGTGTATTAAAAAAACATTGTCTTTCAAGGACCTCGTAGTCCGATTACAACGATATGGCTCTTCCAAAAGAGAACTTTATTTGATCAATTCTCGATGGAAGCAAGACCCTATGAGCTTTTGTTAGTTGAGAATGTATGAACAGATAACACCATGCGACAGAGCTATTAGTATTAAAAAAACTAAACCTCTAGCAATTTTTATAAACTAACTCGGATTAAGGATTTCTCAAAGTTCAAAACAAGGAGAATAAAAGAAGTATGAAAACCTTCAAAAAGGAAAAAGAAGGAAATATTATAAAGGAGCGTGGGATCACGACATATTTTCCGGAAAGATGACAAAGAACGGCACGTCGTAGGTCAGGTGGCGTCGGTTGCCTTGCCTCCGAAATAAAAAAAAATTCCCCTATTTACCCCCCTTTCCCTCCCCCCTTTCTCTTCATTCCATTCCCCTTTTTCCCCTTTCCCTTTCCCTCTCTGAGAAGGAATTAATACTGAGTGTACAAGATGCGGACACTTTGCCCGAATCTCGACCGGGAAGACGGGCTGGAGACGGTGCTGGAAGTCCCCATACCGGAGGAGATGTTCCCGGCCGGCAATAAGGGCTCCGGCCGCCACCCGTGGCAGGCCATGATGAAGTCTTGGATGAAGCCCCAATCCGCCCCCTCCCCCGTCTTCGGCGGCCGCACCGCCCAGATTCAGCTCCTTCTCAGCGTCGCCGGCGCCCCTCTCGTCCCCCTCCCCATTCCCTCCGACCACTCTTGCAACTCCAAAATCAACGATCACCCCATCGTAAGTAATAATCATGTCTTCAACATATATACGAATTTCATTTTGTTTGAACATTTTTCATCATATCCCAAGAAATTGTAGCCTGAATAATTTGTCTGAGGAACGGATTCAACCAAAAACACAAGCCTGTGATTATCGTCACACGTCTCTCACGTGCAAGCGTGACTTCTTTAAACGAAATTTTATTTAAAAAAATTTGGGTGGCGGTAAGTTTTAAACTCGTGACTTCTTGATCATCAAGACTCTGATATCATGTCAAGGAATCGGTTCAACCAAAAACTCAAGCTTGTGGTGGTAATGTGCAGGAGGCATCGATGGCGAAGTACATTGTGAAGCAGTACATAGCGGCGGCGGGAGGGGAGGAGGCGATAAACGGCGTGGAGAGCATGTACGCAATGGGGAAGGTGAAGATGGCGGCGTCGGAGTTCACGCCGGGGAGCGGGGAGGGCGGCGGGGAAGGGAGGACGGCGGCGAAGATGAAGATCTTGAGAGGCGGCGGAGGGGAAATGGGAGGGTTTGTACTGTGGCAGAGGCGGCCGGGGCGGTGGAGCCTGGAGCTGGTGGTTTCCGGGTGCAAGATTAGCGCGGGGTGCGACGGGAAGGT